CTACCTCAAACTTTTTCCCCCTTATTTATACATTAGTAATAGAATGACATGTCCCTTAAAGAAAACTTGTTAAGCAAGCAGTTCCAATGGGCAAGCAAGAGGCTCCTTCTGATTGATTAACCAGGTATGGGTTTTTCCAGAGTTTGCAGCCTTGAGGCCCCAATAGACATTCCTGGGGCACATCCTGCTCTTAGATGCATGTATCAGTGGGGTCAAGCTGCCCTCTGTGGCACCCAAAAAACCCCTTCCCCTCCTGCCTTGGTTAAGCTAAGCCTGACGACTTGGCTGCTTTTAGTAAAAAGCCATAGTAGTTTCAGGCACTTTACTGGTTTGCCAAAGGCTCCCTGTACAGTTTCCCCTCCTTAAAGGTCACCTTTTCCACAAGGGGGCCTTTACATGATCGCTGTCACCCCCTTTCTGGATGCACCTGAGTTGAGATCCAACAAAAGCTCAAGGCTCTCAGCCGAGACGGAGCAAACCAGCGTAGCAACTGACAAGCTATCGCCTTAGCCTCCTTTCCCAGTTGAGGGAGGGGTGGCAAGTTTGGCATGTTCCTTACCCAGGGGTACAAGTGCCAGTGGCAGTAACCACTGACTCATCTGTTGGGGGACTTGCAATTGCCGGATTTTGCACCATATCCAGCATGTCATTAGGCTGGTAACAAAAACCACTACTACTTGGCACCCCAAGATTACTTGATGGGGTGTAGGGCTGAATTCAGGATGCCTGTGCCAGTGGGGGACCATCCCAACACCACTTCCCACCAGTGGTGTGACAGGTCCTGGCCAATTCTTGCAAATACACAGTCAGCTTCCACCTGAGTTGATTTCTTTTCACTTTCAACTTCTGCTTCCAAAACAGTGATCTGAAGAAGAAAACAATCTACTGTGGCTCCTTTTAGAGCCCTAATAGGATTTTAGTTAAGTAGCATGTTTTGTTTGCATTTCTTTGCACATGTCCTGGGAAAAATACACATTCCTTTCATAGTTTAACTTCTATAACATTAGCCATATCAATTTTTACTGAATGTGTAACAGTTTCTTTTGTGCTCACACAGTTTCTATGAACCTTTATCAAAGTGACAGTCTGATTACTCAGAGCCACCTTAAGGCTCAGTTTAATTGAAACTGCTGAATTGGAATTCATTTGCAAATTGGATACTATTAATTTAGGCTTAAATAGAGACTGGGAGTGGCTAAGTCATTATGCAAGGTAGCCTGTTTCCTCTTGTTTTTTCCTACCCTCCCCCCAGATGTTCTGGTTTAACTTGGATTTAAACTTGGAGAGTGGTCAGTTTAGATGAGCTATTACCAGCAGGAGAGTGAGTTTGTGTGTGTATGGGGGTGGGGGGGGGATGTAAGAAAACCTGGATTTATGCAGGAAATAGCCCGACTTGATTATGTAAAGAGTTGTCACTTTGGATGGGCTAGCACCAGCAGGAGAGTGAATTTGGTGGGGAGGGGGGGGTGAAGGGTGAGAAAACCTGGATTTGTGCTGGAAATGGCCCACCTGTTGATCACTTTAGATAAGCTGTTACCAGCAGGACAGTGGGGTGGGAGGAGGTATTGTTTCATATTCTCTGTGTGTATATAAAGTCTGCTGCAGTTTCCATGGTATGCATCCGATGAAGTGAGCTGTAGCTCACGAAAGCTCATGCTCAAATAAATTGGTTAGTCTCTAAGGTGCCACAAGTCCTCCTTTTCTTTTTGCAAATACAGACTAACACGGCTGTTCCTCTGAAACAGTATATCTATACACACAAACATACTCTCCTTCACATCCCTTACACTGCTTTAATGTTTACACAGCTGTACATAGATTACATTGGTATATATTTGGGGTCAGGTAAGTTCCAATAGAAACCCCTTATATTCTTTTGGCAAATTTGACTAAATTGTTCAGTCAAATGATTCAAAGCAGACTGTCTTTTTGCCAGACTTTTGGAAAACATTCTTTTGGAAAAGGGCCCATTTTTCCTTCAGAATGGCTGCAAAGAAACCAATAATTCTTTTTCTATAAGACTTTGTTTCAGAGTAGCAGCTGTGTTAGTCTGTATTTGCAAAAAGAAAAGGAGTACTTGTGGCACCTTAGAGACTAAAAAATTTGAGCATAAGCTTTTGTGAGCTACAGCTCACTTCATCGGATGCATTCCGATGCATTCTGTTAACATTTGCACAAGGTTCAACTGCTTAATTCCCTCCAGCCTCTGCAGAGTTAATTTCTCACTCTGTTGCCTGCCTGCTTGTCTGGGCCTGATCCTGCTTTCCTGCCTGAACCGCCCCTTCCCATGGGCACAGGCTTTGTTCTTGTTGTTTTTATTCTTATCTTTGTTACTTATGCAGCAACATAAAGCTATTCTGATATGAGCAGCTTTTCATTACTGTGTCCTTTAGGCCACCTCTACCTCTCACTCTTCCTTGGTCTCTCAGCATTTCTTCTTGGGATCTACCTGCTCTCATCTTGTCCTACTCACATTCTGTCCTCTACCCTCTAGACAAAATAGGGGTCTTAGGCTCCTGGCCATCAGTACCTTGTAGACCCCTTTGTGCAAGGTTTCTGCACGTTTTCTCCTCAGAGACAGAAGAATGGGTTGAATCTTTCCAAACATACAGCAGATCTCAGTTAAACAAGCTCTATTTGGAATGAAAGAGGAACATTTTTAAATAAATATAAATCATTTTTTCTCATATCCAAATGAGAGCTGAAATTTTAGAAAAGTGTTTTTCCTGTTCCGTTGCAGAAAAGGAGGAAGACAAGGAAAGTTCTGACATGATCCAGCTGACAGATTAGCCTTCTGTCCATGTCTTGCCCCAGAGAACCTAGGCTATAGCTGACCTCCTTGGTCTGGCCCAGAAGTCTTTCAGCACCCACCCTCTTGTGTGGGACCATCCCCATGCCTTTCAGAGTGTCACTCTTCAGTAGAGCAAACGGCCTTTTACCCAAGGAGAGACTCAGTTTCCTATTTCACAGTCCTCCTTTGTCTCTAGAGAGATCCTGCTGGCTCCTCTCCAAACCCAGCCCATCCAGCTCGGAGGGGTACTGGGCTAGGCCACTGGTGATGGTTGGGGCTATTGTCTGAGTGTTTTAATGGCCACTTTGCTGCACCTTGATGGGTTTGTCCTGTGGCCTTTAAGGCCTGGCTGTCTCCTTCCCGCTCCCCCGAGAGCTTTCACAGAAAACATATCTACCCCTCTTCTGTTTGGGTTACAGTAAGAAAATCATTCCAAGAATTAAATTGAGCAGAGTCTGTCCCTCCTACATCTAAAGTGTAACCCCTGGATGCTCTGTGGGGATACCCCACCTTGTAGAGGGCCGGGCTTTCTTGTCCTAGGGAATCCCAAGATAACCTGGTATCAATGCTACACACCTGTGTTACCTTCTGTCACAGCTCCGATTGGGCTGCCCCTTCCAGTCACCCCCTGCTCTGCTGTGAGGGAATCCAAGCCTCTCTCCCTGAATCCCGGGGTGTTTTAAGCCTCCAGAGCCTGAACAGAGTCCAGCCACTGCCCCAGTCTTGGGGTCCGTAGGCATGCTGCTGCCATGCAGATCTGCCATCTAACGCTCCCTTCTCAGAACTGGATCCTGCTCTCCAGCTGCCTCGCCCCTGGCCTCAGTGTTGACCCTTCAGACTCCCCTGTACTTAAACACACCCTCCTCCCAGAACTCCACCCCAAGGCGGGAAGCTTCTGGTTTACACTTTCTCTCTCTCAGCGGCACACAAGCAGTTGTGAAGCAAACACACAGACACTTGGACAAGCACCTAACACAATTGCTGTTTTATACCCAACAGATAAAGCACAAAGAGTACAATTCACTTAGACACACCAACTATCCTACCCACAATGCCCCTCCCTAGCTCACCCTTCCCTTAGAAGTCTTGGGGGACACCTGGGCTCAGGACGGAAGGCAGGTAGGGTGTCCCCCTGCCTCAGAGTTCTCCATGTTGGGTGGCTGCTCCCTCTCCTCGAGCTAGTGAGGAACCAAAGACCCCAGGAAGATCAGCTCCTCCCTGTGTATAAATTTTAGTCACCTCTGTCAGGTGACATCCTGCCAGCCTCAACACATGCACAGAGGATCCTCCACCTGGATTTCCAAATTACAGCAGTATGGTGGCCTTAAAGGGCCACAGCATCATCAATGGAAATGCCCCAAAGGTCAGGGAAAACCACCCACATGTTGTCTCCTGTCTGTGTTTGGGTGAGGGGCTATTGGGAGCCAGACCTGCCCAAACCTCAGGCCTTTAGGTCCCCTCCAGATGCCCTGCAACTTCTCAGGTCTTTCAGTCATGTAGCCCCAGGGGCTATGGGGTGTTGGAATCAAGGAAGCGATATTGAATAGAGGGGTAATAGAGTTATGGGTCCTCTCTGGACAGGCTGCTGAGACAATGGTCCTGGAATTACGGGCCCCACAATTGTCTAGATTCATTTAAAGCAGGGGAGGTGCATTTTCCTGATTTAAATATATTGTTTGTCATTTTGTTCCCAAATGGCAGACAGAACCCTGGATTTCTGGGGGCCAGGGGGCTGTCAGCTGAGAGAAGTCTCTCAAGCTTGGAGAAACCTTAGTGCAATTGGTGTATTTCTGTGCAGTGTTATTTTTGAAGCATTTCCCCTAATCCCAGAGAAAAATAATGTTAAAATGCAATAAACGCTGAGAGCACATGTTAGCAATTTAAGGTAAAATACCTTACAGAGATGTTGCAATTATCTGCAAACAGGCCTTATAAACATGGAAATTCAGAGTCAAGGTGGAACTTTAAAGGAATCCAGATGTGTTAAACTCTGGAAATGCAGCCTGACAGCCTTAACTCTGCCCTGCAGGAACACCCTGCAAACACCACCTAGATATTAAGGCATTTTACTGTTTGCAGCCACAGCTTAAATTTAATTGATGTTTTAGACACGAGACCTTTCTTCTTTCCCGCCTCACTATCACTGCAAGCTCCCGCAGGAGCCCAGGCACCAGGGGCACTGGCTCTCTACAGGGCACTGCAGCTGCTGCACTGCGAACGCCCTTGGGGTATTGGGATCACAAAGGTAATTAAAGAGAAGCCTCTGGGCCTGGCGTGGCTGAGTGCAGCCAGGGTCCTGATCACAGGAACTGGGGGGCAGCGGGTACAGGCAGCCAGGCTCCTGCAGCCACCCCTCCCCCAGGGCCCCCCACTGTCTCCCTGTCAGTGGCCCTGAGAGCTCAGCCTCCCAGCTGCCCAGGGTGGAGAAGGGGTCCCTCAGGTGGGGGAAGGAGAGAGAGGAGCAAATTCTCCAATTCGGGAGCGGAGCAAAAGGGGAAAAGGTCCCTTCCCCTGAACTGTCTGAACTTGTGTTTAGCTGTGACCCCCTCAGTACCTTTCCCAGACCTGAATCTGTGATCTCAAAAGCTTGTCTCTCACACCAACGGGAGTTGGTCCAATACAAGAGATTAACAGCGTCCCCACCCCCTTGGTCCAATACAAGAGATTAACAGCGTCCCCACCCCGGTCACTCCAATATCCTTCAACCCTCACGCTGCTACAACACCACCACCGGACATTGCCCTCGGGCCAGTGATGAGACACCGGTGGAAGGAGGGAGGGGGACTGAGAACAAAGGTAAGACCTGGGGGAGATGAAGGGGGAAGAACATTGGAGGAGGGGAGGACCAGAACGGCGGGGGGGGGGGGATTTCAGGGAGGGGGAAGAGGAAGGAAATTACTTCTCAGCTTCTGCAGGCCAGAGGAGAGGAGCAGGGAGAGAAGAGAGAACCCGACAACCTCTAGGAAGCAGGAGAGAGGAGCAGAGGCAAGACATAAGGGAGGGTTAACATGAGAAGTGGGGGAAATGAAGAGGGGCCTACATGGGGCGGATTACAAAAACGGGGGCTACGCAACACAGGAGAAAATGCCAGCAGCCCCCGGGTTTTGTTTGAAGCCACAATCCCCCTGGGAGCCCTGCACAGCGCAGCCGCAGAAACACCCACCAGGCTCCGAGGCCTGGGCTCCTGGCCAGCTGGGAGTTTCAGTTTCTCCGGAAGCAGCCGAGAGCTGAGCTGGGGCCTGGCAGGAAAGGCCGGCCAGCCGACGGCTTGCTTCAGACAGAGTCCCTGGGAGTTGGAGCTCTGCTGGGGGCAGAGAAGATCCCTAAATCCAGAGAAAGAAGGGGGGGCTCAGAGGAATCCACTCTCCGGGTCTGTGCATCTCCATAACGCAGGGCTCAGACATTATGGAGCACAGACCCACTCAGAGCTCTGCAGCCACGGACGGGGCACACGGCACAATCTTTATTAAAGAGTTAACTGGCACAAAGAGTGCCCTGGATGTGTGTTGGGATGACACCGTGGCGGATCTGAAGAGGAAGCTGATTGAACATGGTATTTTTGTTGGCACTGTTGACCAGATTAGACTGATATTCGGAGGCAGACAGCTGGAAGATGCCAGGAGTCTGCAGCACCAAGGGGTGACCAATCACGGCACTATCGATCTGCTGCTACGCTGTAAGTGCTGGGCAATGATGGGAAAAGAGTGCAGGAGATAGGACTGGATGGGATGATGTAGCAAAGTGAAGACTCACCCATGCGGCACCTCCTGCTGGTTATCCCAGGAATTAGCTCAATTCCAGCTCAGAGCACCCTCTGCTGGCCAGTGATTCAACTGCCTCAGGCCCCAGTTTCCCTCCCAGACCCCAGTGCCCCTTACCCTGGAGTTCTGCCCTCCTCAGTACCCTCCCAGGGGAACCCCCAACCCTCAATCCCCACCTTGCCTCAGTGGCTACTGCCAGTCATTATCTAGCCCCCACTCACTGGGGCAGACTGCAGTCTGTAAAAGGCCACTCATCATTGGCAAGGGGGCTGGGGGGGAGTGTCAGACCAGCTGCCTCCTCCTAACCCCTGGCTATAGCCTCTGCAACCCCAGTACCTGTTTGGCCTTTAGCAAGGCCTGCAGCCTGGGGATTTGCCAGGCTGGAGCTCCCCAGATCTTCTGGCCTGGCCCTAGGCAGCCTAGTCCTTCTCCTGTCAAGGCTGGAGAGAGGACTCTTCCAGCCCTTTTATAGGGCTAGCTGTGGCCTGATTGGGGCACGGCCCCAGCTGTGGCTGCTTTCCCAATCAGCGTACCCTTTCTCCTTCTTTTTCAGGAGTGGGCTAACTGGCCCGCTACAGGTGGCCAGGAGAGTGGGTGATTGGGGGCTGGGGGGGTGTGACCGGTTAGATCACAGAAACCCCCTTGGGACTGCCACCTAATGTGCTGAGACTACCTCTGAGCCCGCTTTCCCTGGCAGCTTGGGACTTCAGTACCCTGTCTTGTTGAGCCAGACACACTAGCCTGCTGCAAACACAGACCCAGGTCTGAACCACGTCCCCCAAAAACTGCAGACTTAACTGAAAATGGCTTAAGAAGTGCTCCTGTCTCCAACACCCAGATACCCAGTTCCCAATGGGATCCAAACCCCAAATAAATCCGTTTTACTCTGTATAAAGTAGGATTTAAGACAAAATGGAGGGGTTTCCAGGGCCTTTTATAGTCTCTCTTGTGCAACATCACAGCGACAAGGTGGAGTCTGTAGCCACCTGGGCAAGTCACATGTCTATGAATGATTCTGCTTTTTGCAAGCCGACGCCATTTTTTACATGTTAGTTTGAAATCCCAGGAAATCTCAGATGTGGATTGACGTCCAAAGTCCATTGTTAGTTAAAGACTCCCAATTACTTTAATAATCGCTTCACACTATGTTGACAAAATCTGCGTTATGTGCTTCCTACAGCAAACACTTTAAATACAAGCATAGAGCCAATGCTCATAACTTCAGATATAAAAACAATACATGCATACAAAAGGATGGATATATTCAGTAGATCAGAACCTTTGCAAAGATATGTCACATGGCATATCTAGCATAAACATATTCCAGTTATGTCATGTTTACACTCATAAGCATATTTATATAAAGCATTATGGGGTGCAGTGTCACAGGGGGAAGCTGGGTGATGTTGTCCTTATGAGGGGCTGGTGACGGCCTTTACAAAGAGGACGGATCAGCTGAACCGAAAGAAAGCATAACAGGATTGCTGAATGAAGAGCCAATGGATTATACTGCTTGGGGTATAAGGAGACGGTGGGATTGAATAGACACTCGAGTTCTACCAAGGGAAGGGCGGGGTTTGTTCTCTAGTAGGAGGAGCTTAGATACTGTTTTCACATCTAACAGGCAGCAGCCCACCCCATAGTCTTTCTATCCAGTAAGAGACCAGCAAATCTGCAGGGTAATAATTTTACGGGTCTCACCCTGCTGTCCCAGCAGGCTAGAAATAGCAGAGTCCCAGCACCATTCAGTGGAGGAGAGGGGGACAGCCATCTGGGACATAATATGACAGCAAAAGGCTTCTTTCTAAAGGGGCTGAGAGCAGGACTGGGACAGTGGGGAAAAGGTGGGAGGGGGATACTTCTCCTCAGGGGGCTGAGGGTCCTTATCTCACTCTCTGATGTTTGTTTTGCAGTGCGCGGTGGTGGTGGTTTTCCAGGTAAGAAGAGCCGCTGTATTTTTCCACTTGAAATGTTTTCCCTTTAAAACAGCTGCTTGGGCAGAGAGCAACAGGCTGGATCCTGGGTCTGCAGGGACAGATTGAGGAAGCCTGGCTTTGTTCTAATCTAGAGGACTGAATACAGAGTCAAGAAATGGGCTCTCTTCCCCACTCTGCCAGTGATTGCAGTATGGCCTTCGGTGTGTCACTGCGTCTCACCTCTACTCGCTTCCCCATCTATCAAATGGAGACAGCATCCTAGACCAAGCCCTGACGGTGACGTTAGTGCAGCAGAAAGGCAATACAATGTTAAGCTGTGGGAGGGCAGAGGAGTTATGGGGTGGGATCGGGGATGGCGCTGGCGTTACCAACAGAAACGCTGGGTGCTAGGGTGCAAACTGCTCTCTGGGTGTCCAGTCTGTGGCGAGTTATTTCCCAGAACATGATCTCAAGTGATCGTGGTTTCCCTGTCATTCCAGTCCGCGACTTTCCTGCTGGAACTGCACAATGCAGAGAGGAAGCCCAGCCACATTCGTCATCTCCAGACAAAGCAGAACTTGAGGAACAAACACGTAAGGGGCCTCAAGAAATTATAATTGGGCGATGCAGAAATAAAACCTCCAGAGAAAACAATGAAATGCTAGCAAGAGAATATGACAGGAGCTCCAGAGCAGCCTCCTGTGATTGCAGTACCAGGCTCTCCCAGTAGGAGGTGCTGCAGAAGCTTTGGCTGTGAGGGAGCCCTCAGGTACTCCAGTCCCAGCCTCTCCCAGACAGAAGGGTGGTAGAAACACTGGCTGTGGGGAGCCCTCTCCTACTTCCAGGGTTCATTGCGAGGTGAGGGTAGACTGTGATATTCTACCATCCTCCACCCACAACCAAGAGCACCAGAATCTTTGTAGAAGTGGGGGGGGGCAACAGGTGCTGGAACTGGGTGGTATCAGGGGGACATGTCCCCCCACTTTTTAACATGGCGTAGTTTGGGGAAAAGTGGGCGGTATTGCCCAGCCAAACTACAAGCCCATGTTAAAAAGGGGGGCGTGACCTTCTCACTTTTAAAAGGAGGGGGCCATGACCCCCCACTTTCCAGCGCTGCTTCCCACAACCAAAACCCACCCAGCTGTGAGACTAAAATGGTCTTCCAGTCGCATAGTTTGTGCAGCTCTTCCTTGTATGCTTGTCCCTCTCCTCTCCTGAGCTGTGAAACGGTTATTGGTGTCAACCCTTTAAATTGTCATCTTGAGAGCTTCACCGTTTGCCCCCCTTCCTGTGAATGTGAACATGGAACTCCTGCCCCTCTCAGAGCTGTTGTTTCAGGCTGTGGGCAGACTCAGGCAGACATCACGGCGTCGGGTTCACCTGGGCCATGTTTTGAAGTTGATCTTTGTAACCACGGGGGCTAGAGGCTTGATTTTCTAATTTAAATGAAAAGTTTGATTCTGAAGCACAAGATTCCACCACAAGGGAAGGGACTGGGGCATTGACCCGGAGCATCCCAGCCCAAATCCGACTCCAGCCTCTCCCAGCAGAACGAGCTCATGGGGAGTGGGGCAGGCGCACTGGTTGTGGGGGAGCCCTGAGTGCCTGCAACCCCAGTCTGCCCTAACAGACACCCCACTCTGCATGTAAAACCTGTTCTAAGAAAATTCTGCCAGCTCAGGGTGGGGAGCCCTGTGCTGTGCTGAGCTCCAGCACCCAGAGTGTGAACGCCACGGCCTTATACTGGCTCTAGAAACACAAATATCACCCGACAGACACAGTTTTCAATATGTGATGTTATCTGTGTTCCCTCTCTAGGACAAGCAAGAAGAGCAGTGGCTTCGTTTCGATACTCTGTCGTGTTAAAGGGAAAATGCAACAGGTGTTTCGGAGTGGTAAGGGGCTGTTTTCTCACAGTCAAAGACATGTCAGTTAGTTTAACAGTTCCCACTGCGGGACACAAAGGAAATGTGACAATAATAGAGGTCAGGAGAACAGGAATTGCCAACCTGGATCAGACCTGAGTGATCCTGTCTCTGAGCATGGCCACTGCCAGGTGCTTCTGAGGAAGGAGGAAGAACCCCACAGGAGGCAGTTGTGGGGTAATCTGCCCCCACATTAGGACGCATACTGGTCCCTAACAGTGAGAGATTGGTCTAAGCCCTGAAGCACAAGGTTTAATATCCCTGCCAATATTTTTATTCGAAAGACACGGTGGGGGAGGTAATATCTTTTATTGGACCAGCTTCTGCTGGTGAGAGAGACAAGCTATCAAGCTACGCACAGAGCTCTTCTTCAGGTCTGGGCAAAGAACTCAGAGCAGGGTAACAGTTAAAAAGAAGAAAAGGAGTACTTGTGGCACCTTAGAGACTAACCAATTTATTTGAGCATGAGCTTTCGTGAGCTACAGCTCACTTCATCGGATGCATACCGTGGAAACTGCAGCAGACTTTATATACACACAGAGAATATGAAACAATACCTCCTCCCACCCCACTGTCCTGCTGGTAATAGCTTATCTAAAGTGATCATCAGGTTGGGCCATTTCCAGCACAAATCCAGGTTTTCTCACCCTCCACCTCCCCACACACAAATTCACTCTCCTGCTGGTGATAGCCCATCCAAAGTGACAACTCTCTACACAATGTGCATGATAATCAAGTTGGGCCATTTCCTGCACAAATCCAGGTTCTCTCACCCCCTCCCAAAAACCACACACACAAACTCACTATCCTGCTGGTAATAGCTCATCCAAAGTGACCACTCTCCCTACAATGTGCATGATAATCAAGGTGGGCCATTTCCAGCACAAATCCAGGTTTTCTCACACACCCCTCCCACCCCCATACACACACAAACTCACTCTCCTGCTGGTAATAGCTCATCCAAACTGACCACTCTCCAAGTTTAAATCCAAGTTAAACCAGAACATCTGGGGGGGGGGGGGGTAGGAAAAAACAAGGGGAAATAGGCTACCTTGCATAATGACTTAGCCATTATTAAGGATCTACAACCTATCCTAAAGGATGACCCAACACTCTCACAAATCTTGGGAGACAGGCCAGTCCTTGTCTACAGACAGCCCCGCAACCTGAAGCAAATACTCACCAACAACCACATACCACACAACAGAACCACTAACCCAGGAACTTATCCTTGCAACAAAGCCTGTTGCCAACTGTGCCCACATATCTATTCAGGGAACACCATCACAGGGCCTAATAACATCAGCCACACTATCAGAGGCTCGTTCACCTGCACATCCACCAATGTGATATATGCCATCATGTGCCAGCAATGCCCCTCTGCCATTTACATTGGTCAAACTGGTCAGTCTCTATGTAAAAGAATAAATGGACACAAATCAGATGTCAAGAATTATAACATTCATAAACCAGTCGGAGAACACTTCAATCTCTCTGGTCACGCAATCACAGACATGAAGGTCGCTATCTTAAAACAAAAAAACTTCAAATCCAGACTCCAGCGAGAAACTGCTGAATTGGAATTCATTTGCAAATTGGATACTATTAATTTAGGCTTAAATAGAGACTGGGAGTGGCTAAGTCATTATGCAAGGTAGCCTATTTCCCCTTGTTTTTTCCTACCCCCCCCCCCCCAGATGTTCTGGTTTTACTTGGATTTAAACTTGGAGGGTGGTCAGTTTGGATGAGCTATTACCAGCAGGAGAGTGAGTTTGTGTGTGTATGGGGGTGGGAGGGGTGTGTGAGAAAACCTGGATTTGTGCTGGAAATGGCCCACCTTGATTATCATGCACATTGTAGGGAGAGTGGTCACTTTGGATGAGCTATTACCAGCAGGATAGTGAGTTTGTGTGTGTGGTTTTTGGAGGGGGGTGAGGGGGTGAGAGAACCTGGATTTGTGCAGGAAATGGCCCAACTTGATTATCATGCACATTGTGTAAAGAGTTGTCACTTTGGATGGGCTATCACCAGCAGGAGAGTGAATTTGTGTGGGGGGGTGGAGGGTGAGAAAACCTGGATTTGTGCTGGAAATGGCCCAACCTGATGATCACTTTAGATAAGCTATTACCAGCAGGACAGTGGGGTGGGAGGAGGTATTGTTTCATATTCTCTGTGTGTATATAAAGTCTGCTGCAGTTTCCATGGTATGCATCCGATGAAGTGAGCTGTAGCTCACGAAAGCTCATGCTCAAATAAATTGGTTAGTCTCTAAGGTGCCACAAGTCCTCCTTTTCTTTTTGCGAATACAGACTAACACGGCTGTTACTCTGAAACCAGTTAAAAAGAAGGTGGAACAGATTGTTGAGCCATAAGTATTTAGCACCTATTGTAAGGGATCCTTCAAGGTGGAGTGGCCCGTTAACACCTCCGCAGTGATTGGATAAAAGTGGGGGTTTTAGTGGGTTACAGATTGTTGTAATGAGCCATAAATCCAGTGTCTGTTCAGTCCATGATTTTTAGTGTCCAGCAGAGTTATGAATTTAAGCTCCCAGGCTCGTCTTTTGAAAGTGTTGTGCAGGTTTCCTTTGAGGACGAGGACGGATAGATCAGATATAGAGTGATCCCACAGGTGAGAGGATGTTTTTGTCTTTTATCGTTTTCCTGTGTAAGTTCTCTCCAGAGTGCAGTGACTGTCTAGTGTCACCCACAGAGCGGTTATTGGGGCATTTAGTGCACTGGATGAGGTACACCACATGCTGGATCCTACACATGCCAATCATATGGATCTTGAAAGGTGTGTTGTGTGGGTTGTTGATCATTGAAGCAGTGGAGATGTCTGCAGGTTTTGCAGCTGTTGTTCTGGCAGGGTCTGTTGCCACTTTGAGTTGGCGTGTCCTGGTCTGTGGGGAACTTGCTTCTGAGGATGAGCCTGGAGAAGTGGGGGGGGTGGTTTGAAGGTTAGAAGTAGGGGTTCCGGAAAGATTTCTTTCAGGATGGGGTCCCCATCAAGTATGAGTTGTCGTTATTTGATGATACCCCGCATGGTTTTCAGTGTGGGGTCATAGGCAGGGCCATCCCTAGCCATTTGGGTGCCCTACGCAGCCCCCCTGCAGGGGGGGCTGTGTGTGGCCCTAAGCCCTCACCCCAGGGTCTGGGAGGCAGGAGCTGTGGGGGGCACTTTTGGGGGTCCCACAGGCCCAGAGTGGCCTGGGAGATTAGTGGGGGGCCGGGAGCAGCCCGCTCCGCTTCCCTCGCCCTGGCCCCAGCCATGTCGCTCAGGGGAGGGGGACTGGGGGAAGGGATCCCCCACATACACTCACCGGGTTGCTCCGCCTCAACACACAAACACCCCCCGAGCGACACGGCTGAGGCATCGTCGCTCCACTTCCCGCCGCCGGTGAGTGCGGGGGGCGTCCTTTCCCCAACCTCCCCGCACTCACCGGCGGTGGGAAGCAGAGCGCCGTAGCTGGGAGCTGGCAGAGGGGAGCGGGCTGGGGCCAGGTTGCACCACTTCCCGCCGCTGCCAGTGAGTGTGGGGTCACTGGGGGAAGAGGTGAAATGGGGGCGGGCTGGGGGCAGAGGAGGGGGGAAGGGAAAAAGGTGGGGCGGAGGGAGTTGTCCGGGCCCGCCCCACCAGGGATGGCCCTGCCCCTTGCAGTGGGCACAGCCCGCAGGGGGGTCGGCCGGGGGATAGGGCTGGTCGCCAGGGCTGGTGCTGCCGTGTATGCAGCATGCATCTACCTAGGGCACCATGAAAATTGGGGCAATTTGGTACCCCAAATTTCTTGGTGCCCTACGCAGCTGCGTATGCTGCGTATGCCTAAGGACGGCCCTGGATAGGTGACAGCTAGGGGTATGCAGTTGGAGGAGGTTTTATTGCTGTGTTGAAGCAGGTTCTCTTGGGGTATTTGGGTGGGTATTTGGGTCCATTCCATGATGTGATCTACTTCTCTGGTGGAATGTGCTTCTTTGGTGAAGGTGCTTTTGAGTGTATTAAGGTGTATATCCCAGACTTTCTCCTCTGCTCATATTCTGTGGTATCTGAATGCCTGCTGTAGATAACACATATCTTGGTGTGTTGCAGCAGATTACCGGATCTATGAAGGTAGGTGCAGTGATCCGGGGGTATACAGTTGTCTGTAGGGTTCCATTGCTGAAGCTGATCGTGATGTCCAGGAAGATGATGCTGGTGTGGAGCTGTTCCAGAGAGAGTTTAATGGAGGGGTGGTGGTTGTTGAAGTTGTGGTGGAAATCTATTAGGGAGTTTAAGTTGTCTGACCAGAGGATGAAAATATCATTGATGTGTCTTAGGTCTGTCTTTGGTTCTGTGATGCCTTTGTCCAGAAATGCATGAAGAGATTGGCATATTGGGGAGCCATCCTCACACCATGGCTGTTCCCATGGTTTGTACAGTGTTTGCTGTGGAATGTAAAATTGTTCTGGGGGAGGATGAAATGGATGAATCTGGTGATGTGTTTGGGGTGGATCTCTGAGGGCTGTCCATTGTCATGTAGAAATTTGAGGCAGGCAGCTAGGCTGTCATTCCAAGGGATGTTGGTTTATAGGGAAGTGACTTCCATGGTGGCAAGGCTGCTGTTCTGAGGGAGACTGTTAATGTTGCTGAGTTTGTGGAGGAAGTCGGTTGTGTCCTGGAGGAAGCTGGCTCTTTGTGTGGTGAATGGTTTGAGGTTGGCTCCTCTGAGTCCTGATATTCTTTCACAGAATCATAGAATATCAGGGTTGGAAGAGACCTCAGGAGGTCATCTAGTCCAATCCCCTGCTCAAAGCAGGACCAATCCCCAACTAAATCATCCCAGCCAGGGCTTTGTCAAGCCAGGCCTTAAAAACCTCTAAGGATAGAGATTCCACCACCTCCCTAGGTAACCCATTCCAGTGCTTCACCACCCTCTTGGTGAAATAGTGTTTCCTAATATCCAACCTAGACCTCCCCCATTGCAACTTGAGACCAT